TAAGGGTAGAAAAGGAATCTCATTCTTTTCTTTGTACCTTGTTTCCTATATTTCTTATAGTACACCATCTCATAAATTTAAGAATCATTTCTTTAAGTTCCTGGACTTTTATACTTTGTTAGGCATAATTAAGCATCTAATGCGCCGTGAAACAAAGTTCCATCTTTGCCTTCAATTCGTACTTGAATTGCCACATCAATGAGTCCTACTCATTTGTGTATGAAGCGAAAAGATATGTTGGTTGTCAACTATTGACAATTTTGAGTTTTTTTTTTTGTTTTTTTTTTAACTCAATATTTCATGTTTATCAAAACTACCTAGTATTTTGAAAACATGATATCCAACCGTCCTTTCTGACTTTAGTCGTTTATGAGAAGTTGTATCTTAGAAATGCCTTTTCTTTCTTTGAGAACCATTCTCGAAAGATTTCTTTTACCAATCAATGGAAACAATATTATTTGATTACGAATTCTACAAATATAAGTGCAAATTTTAACCATTTATCAAGATCATAATAAGTTTGAAATTCTAAGCATGCGTTTTATCCACGCATTAAAATAAATGTCCCTTTTAGGCGAGAATAAAACGATTCCAAGACCCCAAAAATCAGAAAGTGATTAAGCATGCTTTGGCTTGTCTTAAAACTTAATATCTTAGGGTAAGCAATCCCATTGCTAATAGCTCCAAGCTACTCTTGGTTCGATAAAACGTCGCATCTAATGCTTCCGTGACATTTTATCTCCATTGCCACGACATCTAAGGACACCTTACTGATATCGTTGAGCTTAACCAAGACAACTTGTATACCTAGTATACCTTACGTTCCTAGGGAAGTAGTGATGTCTCGCTTTGGCGTAGTCCATCACGTACGCGCATTAGTTCGGTAAGTGTTGTTCTTGGAACGACAAATTTTAACTCAATATTATTAAGGGACCTAGGGTTTCTATGTCAGTTGATTTAAGTTAACTTAACTAATCACCGCAACATTTGAAATCCTATACATGCATCTAACATTCAAATATATATAATCACCATATATATAAAGATTAAAATAGATGCATTTGGCAACTAGCATGACCCCTTGAAATCTTCAATTTCCATGGGTCTTCATCTTGGCTCGTCTTCATCGAATCGCCGTCTTGAGACATCTTGGCCAAAACAAAATAACTAGCTAGTACGACTAAGATTAATCTAATAGTACAAAAATACTTAATGGTTCGCAGACCGTATTTAGATTTACAAAAATACATAACTGAACGCAGTCCGTATTTTCTATCCTAGTCGGGCCCCACTAGTTGCCATTTTCAATAACCTGTTTTGAAAGCAGTCTTCCATTCACCCATTCACTATTTGTGAATGGCCCATGCATTTTACGAAATACACAATTAAACACGCAAAACTAGTAACTAACTTAGGTGGTTAATCCGATTAACGCGCCTAATTAAAACTAGTCAAAGTTGTTTAATTCATTATTTCTAAAAACAAATTGCTCAAACAATCAAATAAGCTCCCACTAAATTCCGCATCTATACTTAATTAATCCGATTAATTAAGTCGGAAAAACCCATAATTTGTCAAAATCAAAATTTTGCAAAAGCCCGAAAAACCGAGGTCTAACCTCGTTAAAATAATTACATAAATAATTTTAAAAATGGCAAAATTTTCGCAAAAATTACATAGCCCATGCATCCAAAAACAGCCCACACAAAACCGAGGCCTAGCATCATTGATGCGGCTGTGCTGTGCTTGGGCGCAGGCAGCCTGCTTAGCAAGGCCTTGCTGCGCTTTGCCAGCACAAGCATGCATCGCAGCCCAGCAGCCTTGCGAGCATCCCAGCAGCCACGCACCACATGCCACAAGCATATCCCTTGCGCATCCATTCCCTCGCCACACTCCTGCAACGCTTCGAGGTGAGAACACCACCATGCGCACCAAAAGCAACCACATATGGGCTGCGTGGGCAGCCCGGCTAGCCTTGGTGATGCTTGGGTGTTCTTGCCTCGATTTGTGTGCATTTTTCTCGGGATTTTAATCCCGATTTATGTGTGACATAAATTAATTCTAAATTTTATTATAGAATCAATTTGAGGAAATATGAAAATAAAATAAGTCTAACTTAATTAAATTCAATTTTGATGGTGCATAAGCCTAAATTATTCAAGAACCATTCTTTGAATCAATGTTAGGTCTAACTTGATGCATTAAATTAAATTTTGAGGGCGCGCCTGTCTGCTGCTGATTCAAATCCCGGTTTCAGCCCAAATTAACAAAAGGGGAAGCAAAACGGCTAACTAGGGACAACATTCTAATATAGAGATATTATTTGAGCATAGAAACCTTAGAGGAGAGCTTTTAAGGAATTTTTCTAGGTTTTTTGTTTTAGCCACTTTTGTATTGAACAATCTTGATAGTTTTTAGTGTAATTTTCATTGCCTATAAACATTAGTTTTACTCTTAGTTTTTAAAGAAGTAATTTTGCAACATTAATGTATGGTCAAGCTTGGAGATTGAATGATGTATGGCTCTTTATTTGGATTTCAATGAAGGTTTTGGTACATTTCTCTATTTTCTCTTTTTTTTTATGATTAAAGTTTCTACCTTTGTTAGTTTAGTTGATAAAAACTTTGTCTTTCTTACTATTCCATTGGTTATAATGTTGCTTAGTATGATTGTAGTTGTAGTTATGACTAGTGAGTAGTTTCTTGTTGCTAGGGGTTTGGTGAAGATATGCTTTGAGTTTGATGTATGCTAGGCTAGGTTAATTTGGAATATTTGTGATTTAATCTTCCTTGTGCTTATACTTATTAGCCACTCCATGTTTATCGCCATATGCATGTTGTGGTTGAATGACGTGAACTAAATCGTGACGATAGTGCAACTTAGGAATAGTCATTAGGTGATTGATTATTGCATGACCTTAGCTTGTATGCCTTACGACGATAGTGCGAGTGTATGCTAGCTAGGAAAGCTCTTAATCCCGATAGGTGATTAGAGAGTATTCTTGATATTGCCTTGTATGAGTTGCTTGGGTTACATGTAAACCTATTTTCCGATGCCTAATTCCGTTGAATTCATAGCATGTTTGATCCTTCCCCCTAGTGCTTGTTTTAATTGTTATTCTATCCCCTTTAGTCATTACTTTACCCACCATACTTCTTGATCGAATTAGATTAACATTAGGAGATAAATAGGGGTGCTTAATCGTTTCCCTGTGTTCGACCCTTAACTTGCCTCTATGCTCTTTTAGTTGCATGTTTAGGACTACAAATATCATTTGATAGAGGTGTCTTAGTAACGACCTAAAACACCGCCTGTCAAATTGGCGCCGTTGCCGGGGAAACGGTTTCCATTGTGTGTTTATTTTCTTGTTGAGACTAGTTCTTTTCTATTCTTTTGTTTTTCCATATCTTGTCAGTGCTCACTTTCTGCTTAGCTTTGTATATGCACAGGAGGCTTAATTGCTCTAGGCCTTTGGTGTCCATAGACCTCGAGCTAGAGCGTACTCTAGCCCAATTGAGGAGACAAGCAAGGGAGAGAGGTGAAGATGGGTGATCAAAGGTCACTAAAGCAACTTGGAGCACCCGAACCTTATGCCTCTCAAAGTGGGATTTTAGCCCCCACCACCCAAGCAAACAATTTCGAGATAAAGCCTAATTTCATTTCAATGATAGAGAAGAGGCAATTTACCGGTGGGAAATTTGAGAATCCCCATGAGCATATCGAAGAGTTTCTCAAGTATTGTGACACTATCAAGATCAACAGAGTCTCCCAAGAGTATATAAGATTGAAGATGTTCCCATTCTCACTCATGGGAGCGGCAGAACATTGGTTGAACAAGGATGTCCCCCCCGGTTCCCTCACGACTTGGAATGAGGTAACTACGGCGTTCCTAGGAAGGTTTTACAATCACAAGAAAACCGCCGAGGCTCGCTCAAAGATTCAAAGTTTCCGCCAAAGAGGTGGAGAGTCTCTTTGTGAGGCATGGGAGAGATTCAAAGAGTTACAAAGGCAATGCCCACACCATGGGATTCCTAATTGGCAAGTTCTCCAAACATTCTACGGAGGACTCTCCCCTCAAAGCAAGACTAGCCTTGATGCCGGAGCCGGAGGCCCAATCATGAACAAAAGGGAAGATGAAGTGGAGAGTATCATAGAAGATGTTGTGCGTAATTATGAGGATTGGTACGAAGGAGAGAGGGAAGCCACTTCTAGCAAAGGAACGGTACAATCCGTAGAGCAAACCAATGCCATCACAAATCTTTCCAACCAAATGGCAAAGATGGCGAAACAAATGGAGGAGTTCATGAAATCAAGTTCTCAAAAATACTTCCTCCCCTCCTCCTAAGGGAGGCCATGGTATGAATCCTTCTACTTCTTCTCCCTCTAATTACAATGCCATGCCTCCTGGTTGTATGTTTTGTGATATATGTGGAGGCTATGATCATAATTCTCAACAATGTATGTCCATAAGTGAAGGTCCCCCTCCCCATGAAAATGATGATAATGTTGAAGATGTTAATGCCATGAATTTTGTGCCCCGTGAGGGAAATAATGGAATGCGGCCAAATTGGAATCAAAACCTAAACCGTGGTTGGAATCAAAACCAAGGTTGGAATCAAAATCAATGGAATCAAAGTGGTGGTGGTTATGATAACCAAGGCCAAGGTAGGGGAAACTCTTCCAATTACAATGGAAGAAGCTACTCAAACCAAAGGCCCAATTAGAATCAAAACCAACAATACTATTCCAACAACCAACAACGTTTTAATTCCAATCAGGGTTCCGGGGGTAATAGACCTCAAAATGCTTCTACTTTCTCAAAAAATGGTAGACCCCCCGGTTTTGACCAAGTAAGGCCCCATTCTCAAATTCCCCCTACTCAACTCCTCCAAATAGAAGCCCCTCCGGATCCTATGATGACTATGCTTCAAAATTTCATTAAAAATCAAGAAAACTATAATAAGAGTCAAGAGGAAGAAAAGAAACAAATCAAGGCACACATGAAAATTCTTGAGACCCAAATCTCTCAAATTGCCCAATCAAGTTCTTCATCCTCCCCTTCTTCATCTTCTTCTTTACCTAGACAAGGTGTCAACCCCAAGTCTATGTATGCCATTAATACTAGAAGTGGGAAGATCCTTGAGAGTGATCTAAATGTTGAGAAGAGTCCCGATGTGAGGATAGGACTTGAGGTTGAGGATGAGTCATCAAGAGAGAATGAGATTCTAGAGGGAAGTGCCGGAAAGAATGAGAGGGGTGAGAAAGATAAATAGAAGGAACCCGAAAAGGAGAGAACCAAAGATCAAACATCTTTACCCCTTAATCTCCAACCTAGGAATGAGAGGTTGCCTTTTCCCCAAAGATTTGCTAGGTCTAGGCTTGATGTCCGATTCGGAAATTTTTTAGATGTAGTAAAGAGCTTGCATGTTTCTATACCCTTTGTGGATGCTATGAAAGAGATGCCTCACTACTCTAAATTCCTAAAAGACCTTTTGAATGGAAGGAGAGAAGTTGAAACTCTTAACCTAACCGCAAATTGTAGCTCTATTCTCTCTAGTAAGCTACCAACCAAATTGCAAGATCCCGGTAGTTTTTCCATCCCTTGTTCCATCAATGAGACTCATTTGGGGAAGGCTTTGTGTGATCTAGGTGCTAGCGTGAGCTTAATGCCCTTTTCGGTCTACGAAAAGCTTAATGTGGGAAACCTTTCACCTACAAACATCACCCTCCAACTAGCGGATAGGTCCACAAAATTGCTTATAGGGAAAGTTGAAGACATACCCCTTAGAGTTGGTAAGTTCACTTTTCCGGTGGACTTTTATGTTCTTGAGATGGATGAAGATGAAAGAATTCCTATAATTTTGGGTAGGCCATTCCTAGCTACTTCTAAAGCAATTATTGATGTCAAAGAAGTTAAGACGACCTTGAAGGTTGACGATGATTCTATCGAATTTGATTTGAATAAGGTAATGAGACAACCTTCCTCTAGAAATGAATGCTTTAGAATAGATACAATTGAAAACTTGATGAATGAGTTTAGATACCCTCATATGCATGCTTCTAATGATCTACTTGAGAATGTTTTGTTGAATGAGAATGAGGTAGGTGATCAAAAGGAGATGCAATTATATGAGGAAATGCTTGATGAGAAAGAGGAGAGAATCCCCGACCAAGAGACGCTCCAAACATATGAAGTCTTCCAAGTAGAAGATGAGGAAATCTCCAATGGTAAGGGAGCTCCGAAGGTAGAATGGAAACCACTACCTTCGGGCTTTAGGTATGTCTTTTTGGATGCTAATGATACTTTTCCAGTCATTGTCAATGCTAACCTCACTGAAGAGCAAACCTCCTCATTGCTTAGTGTTTTAAAAAAGCATAGGAAGGCTTTGGGTTATACTCTTGATGATCTCAAGGGTATAAGCCCCTCCCTATGCATGCATAAAATCGATTTAGAGGAGGGTGCTAAGCCATGTAGGCAACGGCAAAGGAAGCTTAATCCTTCCATGCAAGAGGTTGTGAGGAAAGAGGTTTCCAAGCTACTTGAAGCAGGGATCATCTATCCAATTGCTCATAGTTATTGGGTATCCCCGGTTCAAGTAGTGCCGAAAAAGGGAGGTATGACGGTAATGGTCAATGATAAGAAACAATTGGTCCCAACCCGGCTTGTTACGGGTTGGCGTATGTGTATTGATTACCGCCAATTAAATGCCAACACTTCCAAAGACCATTTTCCATTACCATTCATCGATCAAATGCTTGAGAGGCTTACAAAGCATGCTTTTTATTGCTTTCTTGATGGCTATTCAGGATTCTTCCAAATCCCAATTGACCTAAAAGATCAAGAAAAGACCACTTTCACTTGTCCCTACGGTACTTTTGCTTACCGTAGGATGCCTTTTGGTCTTTCTAATGCCCTGGCTACCTTCAAAAGATGCATGATGTCAATTTTCAGTGACATGATCGAGGAAGAAATGGAAGTTTTTATGGATGACTACTCCGTTGGTGGAGGCACATATGAGAAGTGCCTAATGAATTTATCTCGTTGTTTAGAAAGGTGTGAGAGTGCCAACTTGGTGCTCAATTGGGAGAAATGCCACTTCATGGTGGAAAATGGCATTGTTCTTGGCCATAAAATCTCCCAAGCGGGCATCGAAGTTGATGGTGCAAAGGTTGATGTGATCGAGAAGCTTCCTCCTCCCACAAATGTGAGAGAAGTGAGGTCCTTCCTTGGTCATGCCGGCTTTTATCGCCGCTTCATCAAAGATTTCTCTTTGATTGCTAATCCTCTCACATCTCTCTTGCAACAAGATAAAGAATTTTTATTTGATGAAGCTTGTCATGAGTCATTTTGTAGGTTGAAAAAGGCTCTTTGCACTGCCCCCATTGTCCAAGGACCGGATTAGTCTCTACCATTCGAGCTAATGTGTGATGCGAGCGACGAGGCCATTGGATCGGTTCTAGGACAAAGAAAGGATGGGAAACTTCTTGTTATATACTATTTGTCCAAGACCCTCAACGATGCTCAACGGAATTATACAACTACCAAGAAAGAGTTCTTGACGGTTATTCATTCATTTGAGAAGTTTAGAAACTACCTCATTGGTTCTAGGACAATAGTGTATACCGATCACTCGGCTCTCAAATATTTAATAGGCAAGAAGGAGGCCAAACCGAGGTTGTTGAGATGGGTCTTGGTCCTCCAAGACTTTGATTACGAAATGAGAGATAAGAAGGGGGCCAAGAACGTGGTAGCGGACCACCTCTATAGGTTGGGAGGTGCAAGAATACATGAAGACGGTTTACCAATTGAAGATGCCCTAATGGATGATGTCTTATATGATCTTAAGGAAAAATCGGAGCCTTGGTATGCAGATATTGTGAACTACTTGGCTTATAGTGCCATACCTCCGGATTTCACTCCTCAACAACACCGAAGGCTCAAGCATGAAGCAAGGAAGTATATATGGGATGACCCCATGTTGTTGAAGAGAGGGGTGGATGGACTTTTGAGAAGATGTGTTCCTAATGAAGAGTTCCAAGATGTGCTCTTAATGTGCCACTCATCCCCTTGTGGTGGTCATATGAGTGCTCAAAAGACCGCTTCAAAGGTTTTGCAACGCATGCTCTTTTGGCCCTCTCTATTTAAAGATGCTTGGCAATTTGTTAAGACTTGTGATAGGTGCCAAAGGACGGGGAACATATCAAGGCGTGATGAGATGCCCCAAAATCCGATTCTTGAACTAGAAATTTTTGATGTTTGGGCAATTGACTTCATGGGCCCTTTCATCTTATCCCAAGGAAACCGGCACATTCTAGTTGCCGTTGATTATGTTTCCAAGTGGGCGGAAGCCGTGGCATCTCCCACCAACGACTCTAAGGTGGTCATTAATTTGTTCAAGAAAGTCATCTTCCCAAGATTCGGTGTTCCTAAGGCAATCATAAGTGATGGAGGCTCACACTTCAAGCACCATACATTCAACAAGCTTCTTTCAAAGTATGGTGTATCGCACAAGCGAGGCCTTGCTTACCACCCCCAAACAAGTGGTCAAGCTGAGGTCACAAATAGGGAGTTGAAAGTCATCTTGGAGAAGACCGTTGCTAGAACAAGGAAGGGTTGGTCTAGTAAGCTCATTGATTCATTGTGGGCATATAGGGCTGCCTTCAAGACTCCTATAGGGACTACCCCCTATAAGCTTGTTTATGGGAAGAATTTCCATTTACCCGTAGAGATGGAGCACCGAACGCATTGGGCAATCAAGCAAATCAACTTTGATCTCCACAGTGCGGGTGAGCAAAGACTTTTAGAGCTTCATGAGTTGGAAGAGTTGAGAATGAACGCATATGACAGTGCAAGCCTCTACAAAGCAAGAACCAAGGCATGGCACGACGCTCAAATTTCCAAGAAGGAATTTGTGGAAGGACAAAAGGTCCTACTCTACAATTCAAGACTCAAGCTCTTCCCCGGGAAATTGAGGTCTAGATGGAGCGGTCCATTTCAAGTATCCAAAGTCTTTCCTTATGGCTCAGTTGAGGTATTCAATGACAAGTACCCTCCATTCAAAGTGAATGGGCACCGTCTCAAGCAATACTATGAGGGTCAACTAATTGAGAAGCCGGAAAATTTATCGCTCATTGATGTTTTCAAGTCACCATGATTCCATGCGAAGTACGTCAAGCTAGACGTTAAAGAAGCGCTTACGGGAGGCAACCTGGTTTCTAACCTCTCTGATTTTATTTTCTTTCAAATCGCTTTAACTAATCCATCTAACACTTTTCCTAATCAATTTTGATGTAGGTGTGATTGCGTGTGCCCGTGATGAAAGAGAGACAAGAGTAAAGCAAAAATGAGGAATTTTGAGTAATTGTGCTCGAATGAATACTAAAGAGACAGAACCTCAGCGCGATTTGGTCGCGGCTGAAGCGCGATCCGCAAGAGCAGAAAGGCGTGGGCCCTCCTGGTTTAGTCGCAGGCGCGCCTGTTATATGAATGTTAATTGCTCCCATTCCAGAAAGTAGGAGCGATTTAAGCGCGATTAAGGAGCGGCTCGCGTCAGAAAGGAGGAGCGGGCGCGCCTGTTTTAGGAGCGGGCGCGCTAGCTCTTTGGTCATAATACTCACCCAATTCCAGAGAATAGGAGCGATTTTGTCGCGATTTGTGAGCGGCCTGCGATGCCAAAGTGGCGCGGGTGCGCTTATTCGTAGCGCGGGCGCGACAATAGCTTGGTCTGATTTCCAGGGAGTTGGAGCGATTTTATCGCGATTTAGGAGCGGGCCGCGTTCTCTTAGGCGCGGGCGCGCCATTCTGGGTTTCAGAAAAAAATACGATTCGTCTTTTATTTCCCCAATCTTCCCCAAACCCTCACAAACACAACATCACCCTTCTCTCCCTTCGCGGCCGCTCCTCACCACCATACTCAAGATCATTTCTTCTTCCATCCTCTTTAATCAATCATCCTCAAGCTTCAATCATTCATCTTCTCCCTTTGTTCATCATCAAATAAAGCAATTAGTCATCCTCAACACCAACCGCGACGAACTCGTTTGCTACTCAAAACCCTCAACAATTTGTCACCAAAAACAGCAATTTTTCGCATAAGGGTAAAGGTATTCAATTTCCTTCATTAATTACTCTCTTTTGATTAATTTTTAAGCAAGGATTTTGATTATTCTAGGTTATTAGCGAAATTCGATTGATTATTGTTGAAATTACTGCTGGATTCTGTTGAAATTGTTGTTGTTGGTTATTATCTTAGGCTATATTCGTTGTGTTGGTTGGATTATTATTGCTTGTGAACAGGTACATTGTAGTTTTGTGGAGGTTATGGGTGGAAATAGCCGGAGTTGGCTTTGAAAAGGAGTGAAAATAGAAAAAAAAGAGAGAGGTGGGCAGTCATGAGTCTAAGGATTGGGAAGAAGAGAAAAACTGCAAAGTCGGGACAATCGTCCCAAAACCCAGAGTTAGACCAACCCAATGCCTTACCCACCTTAAAATTCTTAAACAAAAGCCACTCCTCCATATACTCCGAGATGAAAAAACGTAAGTTGCGACCTTCTAGGCACTACCATCGTGGAGACATGATAAAACTCGGTATAAATGATGATTTGTGGATTCTTTTTGACAACCTTCGACTAGGGTATTTTATAAACTCCTCATTCATGACCTACCAAGAACCCACATTAGAGTTTTTCTCGTCTTTTCAAGTGGATAGTCTAGAAAATAAAGACTTTCAAATTTCTTTCCAACTCTTCAACAACCCCCACACCATGTCATTGGCAGAGTTCAACCGAGCCCTCGACTTTCACCCTGATGCCGACATTTACTACCCTCTTTATGAGAGCTTTAGGGAGTATAGTGAGTACGCTTGGTGGAGTTTCATTTCAGGTAAAAATGAGTTTTACACCCGAACTTCCATAGCTAGTGAGATTTGGCACCCTGCCCTTAGGATCCTACACCGTTTACTAGGGTATTCTATCATTAGTAAACAGGACCTAGAAAAGCTGACTAAGGAAGAGGTCCTTTGCCTGTGGATAGCCACAAAGGGAGAGTATGCAAGGAGGTTTAATTTGGGTTTCCTCTTCATGCAAACATGCCAGGCCATAGAAAAGGGGAAAAAGCCAGGGCATATACACTGCGGGGCGATGGTCACTAGATTAGCCACCAAGTTAGGATACACTGACCTTCTACCTCTATGCACGGCCGTAGGTAGTAGTGGGGATATTTACCTTGACTTGGACCAACTCCGCCGCTCTGATTTTATCACTCCCACAGCAAACCCCAATGCTTTTAGGTGGTTAGTTAGAGGAGCCCACCATTGTTTCCTCCCTAAGCCTCACTTCACCTCCCTCACGCGTCAGTCCTCCAATGTGTG